TCCAAAGAGCAGTATCGCTGATGAAACTGAAAGGACAATTTCTCTGCAGAACCTCTCTTTGAGCAGAACTGCCAATCAGCACATTGCAATTTTTTATGAGACAGACCAATGATTGACATCGCCTTTTCCCAAGAGGTTCTGCAGGAGTCACAGGCATTACTGAACTAGCTTATGTGATGGACATGTGACCTCCCACTGTGACACAAATCTCTAAAAACACATTAGCCTGAGGGCTTTTTTTTGCCATTCAGGCCAGCTGGCCCCTGGTTCTCTGTTTTGAACAAAAAACAGAATCCTACATACATTCAAATCCCTTACAGCTCAGAAAACTTTGCAGGCTCAGTCCAGCACCTGACAGGGAGGTCCTAGATCCGCAGCAATCAATGTTTGGAACAGGCCAGTGAGTGTAACATTTCCAGTGCCCGGAATATTTCTGGGATTTAAAGAAAAACTAGTCACACTGGCCACAACTTAACTTAAAGAGCCACTCAATTTAAGACACAAGGATGGGTTATTCACTGTTCAAATCCTGTAGAAAAATTTGATGTGAATTTATAAATACCTTCCATTGTAGAATCTCTTGTGAAAGTATTTTTGTTTCAAAAAACAGGGATGGGAAGCTATGTTAAAAGACCAATTCTGTAGCAAGTAACATTTTATTGGTTGCCATGGTGACTACTCAACTTAGAACTTTGCCCCAGAATTTTGACAATCTTTATTTAGCAATATTCAATTTTCGATCACAGAGTAGAACAGAAATAAATAAATAACTGTGACATTGTGTTTAGGTAGTACATAATACAGATGCTCGCCATTGACAATGAACATTTCATAAAGTCCAGGACTACAAGTTAGTCAGCCGATATGGCATATGAGATCTTTGCGTGCTTCCGTGAGTTTAGTATGTGTCAAGATTGCATAACTAGCTGCGAGTTTCCTCTTGAGTGCTTGTGAGCTTTGAACGTGTTAGATCAAACTATTCTATTCGCAATGTGGTGCAGTGAGAGGCTAATGGGTCATCAGACCATTATTTTGGCTGTGTTCATAGGGGCGTTTTTGTCCAAATAGAAATTATCTATCCTCATCGGTCATGAGGCCGGTGTTGTGTGTCGTAGTTGTAGCGGTGGAAAGGTATGAAAAGGAAATCTAGAGGAAGAAAAAGAGGAGAAAGGAGGCAGTGGGAGAGAGCGAAGAGGGTGAAGGAAAGTAAGAAAGTAAAAAAAAAAGCCTCTGAATCCAAGTTCACTCCTCTCTACCCTTACGCCGCGTCCAACATAATTATTCCACAGGGTGTCATGATCTGGTAATGATAGAACCAGATTGAATTCACATTCTCGCATGGGCCCTTGAGATGTAGGTTAGCCAGGGGGCCCAAGTTTGAACACATTTCTCAGAGTTGTGAGAAAATTGCGTTAAAGACCGGTAAGCTAATTATCTCCCAGGAACAGAAAGGCCAACAAAACATAAAAATACCCCAAAACATCATAAAAACATAAAATAACCCCACAAATAATACATCTTTAATAGCCCTGATCTGAGTGCCCAAGTTCTCCAAATAGCACTCAGATCCATGCATTGTAGGGGAAACACCACCGTGTTAAAGTTCTGACCGGCCACACACGTGGTCCTATGTCCAAAATAGTTCCAGGGCGTTTGGTGCTTTTGCCAGTAAACTTTCGGAGCTCCTGCAGCCGCAATATGGGATGCTCCACCTGGCTCTTAGGTAGCATGTGTTCCCCTTAGTCTCAGACACCTTCCCTCCATAAAGCGCTCTCCTGGCGAATTTCAAAGTGGTTCAAAACTGCTCAAAAGTTGTCCGGGAACCGCACAGTCACCCCATGCCGAAAACAGTTCCAATACATTCGCGGCTAAGTCTCGCTGAGGTGACGAGGAACCTACGAAGTCCTCATGCCGAATTTAGTTGCATAGCAGTCGCAGCTAAGTAACACTGGGCAGTGGCGTATTAAGAGGGGGGCGGAGGGGGCGGTCCGCCACGGGTGCCACCAGGATGGGGGGTGCCATGACCAGGAGCGCCGGCCCCCCCATGCTGCAGCCGCCCGAGCGCTCTGTAGAGGGCCTCAGGTGGCTGCAGCTTTGCCCGGGCGTTGAGCTCCCTCCTGACAAAACCTCTGTTGTAGCGTGACCGAGCATCTGTCTCCTGTACCCGGCCGGACTAACAGGAAGTGCACACTGAGTGTGCACTTCCTCTTAGTCCGGCCGGATACAGGAAACAAAAGCTCCCTGTACCCACGGACCATAAAGCGCTCAGCCACGCTACAACAGTGGTAGGGGGGAGGGGAGAAAAATTAGGAGGAGGTGGGGGGGAAGAAAGAAATTAGGAGGAGGTGGGGGAAGAAAGAAATTAGGTGGGGGGAAGAAAGAAATTAGGAGGAGGTGGGGGGGAAGAAAGAAATTAGGAGGAGGGGGGAAGAAAGAAAGATTAGGAGGTGTGGAGAAAGAAAGATTGGGAGGAGGGGGGGAGATTGACGTTCATCACACACACATACACACAATGCACCCCTTGCACACAGAAAAATACACAATGCATTACACACACAGACACACATACACAAGCAATGCAACCGTTACACACACTGCATCCCTTACACACACAGAAACACACAATGCATTCATTACACACACTCAATGCACCCCTTACACACATTCAATGCATCCCGTACATACACAGAAACACACCTTGCAGCCCTTACACATACAAACACAGATTCACACAATGCATTCCTTACACACATATCAGGACATCCCCTACACACTCCACCCACTGTGAACAAACTCATTGGTGGAACATGAAGGTGGACCCTGGGACCCAGACCTTGAGCTGTGTAAAGGACCCCAAAAAAATTGAGCTGCTTCCCGTTCTCCCAGAACATTGATTTTTGTGACCACAGTTACAAACCGCCTCCAGAGAGCCTGTTCTGCACCAGACCAGTGGAGCCAGACTGCAGCTAGAGCCCATCATCATCCTCATCTGGTTGTAAGTAGGCAATCTAGTATATTATTCGTGGCACTAAGCTCTAATTTATCTCACATTAAAGAAACACTATAGTCCCCAGAACCACTTCAGCTTAATGTAGTGGTTCTGGTGTCTATAACCTGTCCCTGCAGGCCTTTTAATGTAAACACGGCGGCACTGCAGCACTGGCGTTAGTTAACATGGCAAATCATATGGCTGGGGCATTGTGATGTCACATGGGGGGCGGCAAACTTTACTTTTGCCTTGGGCGGCAAAAATCCTTGTACCGGCCCTGGCTGGAGGGAGCTGTGTGAGCTGTGGCCGCACAGTGTCCCATGGTAGTTAGGGTGCCGTGCGGCCAGTACAGCTCACACAAGCAAACAGCTGATAAACTGGCCGCACGGAGGAAAAGTGGGGCGGAGCTAAGCAAAATTGGGGCGGGGCCAAACTGGCACTGGGGACGGGGCTTAATATGGCCCTTACCCACTGCTGTTAGGAGGTGCAGCAAGATAGAATCTCTGCTTCTCCACAGGCTTCAGAGAAGGACTTCAGGGAATCCAGTCCTCCTCCATCCCACTGTCTGTAAGTAAGAGAGTGTGTCTGTGTGTGTGTGTGTGTGTGTGTGTGTGTGTGAGACTGTCTGTGTGTAACTGTGTGTGTGCGTGTGACTGTCTGCCTGTAACTGTGTGTGACTGTCTGCCTGTAACTAAGTGTGTGACTGTCTGCCTGTAAATGTGTGTGTGGGGCTGCGGGGATTTTGTAGAAGGGGGCGGGGGTTTTGTATTGGGACAGGAGTCTTTATAAAGGTGGATAAGCAGGGGATTTGTGGAAGGGGGTTGCGGGAGTTTTGTAGACGGGGCAGTACAAGATTTGCAGAAGGGGAAGGACAGAGGTGTTGTAGGAGAGGCGGGGCAGGACAAGGGTTTTGTATGAGGCGCTGACAGCGGTTTTGCAAAGTTTACAAATTGTATAAAAAAAAAAAAAAAAAGAAAACCTTTAACATTTTTACAGATTTTTTTTTTGGGGGGGGGGGGAGGTGCCAAGCTCAGGATCCGCCCCGGGTGCCAAATGCTCTAGGTACGCCCCTGCTTATGGCAAATCCGACCCTGAAAATAGTGAACAATAAAGATCATCGATGAGTGCTCAATAGAAGTACTGGTTGGGGTATTTCCAGATCAGGGAATCTTGGAATTGACCATAAGACATTCACATTTCACATGGCATAATATTGTAACAAAACAATTATTCAATAATTAAAAAGTGGAGCCATGGATATCCTGCCTTCATCAGACATTTCCCTCAGATTGAATAGAGAATGGAACAGATCACATGGCTCCTGAACAGTTCAATATTACTTTAAACTCTGCAATGGATGTAAAGCTACAGTAAGGACTGAATTCTATTGTGCAGGTTCCTCGAAGACCATGCTTGAGGGACCTGTGAAATGTGGATAGCTGTATAGTGTTCTCATTGGTTTATGGGGGCTCCTCTTTATATCCCTTTAAATGGTTATCTGCTTTACAACTCTTTCAGGTGGCAAAGGAAAGGTGAGGGTATTTGGCATTGCTCATACTTAGTTATGCTAGCTGAGAATGGAGCAGTGCAGGTTAAAGGAATGTAGATCTGCACTCACATATACTGTTAACAATCAGAGTGTTGCATATTTAGGAGCTGTCATATAAGAATAAAAGATGCCAGCATCAGTTCTGTTGTATTATAGGGGGCTAAAAGCATTCTTTTTTTAGGACTACTTACTAAGCAAAACCAACAGGGTTTAATTAATCATATAAAAATAAAAAAGGGTTTCTAGTACAACAAACTCTCAAGCAACTAACTGGAAGGCTTAAAACCCAAAGTTTATTAATACATCATTAAACAAATTAAAATGTACAGTTACCATACTGAACATAACACAATGGCACAGCGATGCAGAACTAACGCGTTTCACATATAGCATAGTCAAAGATCCTCAATTCACTCATCCTTGAATTCACTCTATTACACAGATTATTTCTTTAACTATAAGATGGTTTCTTTTTATCAGGATCTGAAGCTGGAACCCCTGGAGGAAGAGGTTTTAGAAGGAAACACAAGCTCTGTAAGAGAACGAACCTGTATATTTGTTTAGAATGGCAAAAAAAAAAAAAAAAATATAAAAAAAAAGGAAATTTGTTAAACTGGACAAAACTTCTCGAGTAGGCAAATTTTATATCAAGCTATATCCAATAATGTCCTGACACAAATTACAATGTTATCTCTATAGTGTATGAAGTATTTATTATTTTGCTTATGTATATTGTTTTTTTAAATAAATCTCTGAAGAATGCTGATGTATGTAAAAGTAACTAAAGCTTTTTACTAATTATAGTATAGAGTTCTAATATTCTAGTATTTTTCTATTTCACAAAATAACCAACTAACTGATCTTCCAAGAAAAGGCACCCTTGGTCAGATAATTTATTACATGCCAGTAGGTTTTGTGAAATGTGACAATATCACTCTATAATATAAGTTACCATGAATTCATAATGAATGAATACTTCTTATTCTTGTATAAATGTCTCTTAGTTAGTGTCTCTCATATACATGTGTTCAAATGCAAAAAGAAGGAAGCATTTAATCAAAACATTATATGTTTCGCTGCTGTGCCCTTCGGGTGATATGAAAAGCCAAGAGGATAAATGGGAAGAGTAAGCCCTAGAGAAAAAATAGCAATACAAAGATTTGCATGACCTTTCCAAATCTTCCGTTTTTGCCATATTGCTGTGCTTCACCTTTGATGTGTTGTCCTCAAAATTTCAAAATGCACTGAGCACTAAATGTCACCACATTTAATGCGACACGGAATCTCTTATAGAGTTTTACATAAAACATCAGTATCAAAACAGAACCTCTTATGCCGGAAAAATATCCATGTGTTCATATTCAAGAACATATACTATATATTTTGAAAAAAGTATTATATATAATAATGATTCTATCGAAAAATAGTCTCCTAAATATATATATATATATTATAAGATTATAAGAGTATGCTAGCTAGAGAAAATTAAATTAGAAGAAAAATAGTAGATGTAACAGCACTTACAGGTGATAAATAATGAATGATGATAAGAAAAAATCAATCATGTAATATTTCTTTATAATATTGTGTTACATTAAAGATTTTTTTTTTCTAGGACAAGAGAGTATCAGGATCTTAATGAAGATAGATTAAGGGTCTGCTGTAACTTTTATAAAAAAGTGCTAAAATGTAACGATTATGTCTCTGCAGTAGGGGATCACGATAATATAGACTGGGTTTTAGTGTGAATTATCTGGAATTCAAAGTAAATTTACAGTAAATGTCAAATTTTAGTCTAGTAGTGACTGACTGATAACATAGTTAACTTGGAGAGTTTTCTAAACTTTGTAAATAAAATGTGATATTCACTTTGAACTTCTGACACTTTAATGGCTAACCCAGTTACTTTTCTGGAATAAAAGAGATTTTCCCTAGAACAGAAAAATATAAGACGCTTTAACTCTTTAAACCATAAGGATAATGAATTTTCATCTCTTTGGAAGAGAAAAGCACTGGAATATCAAGCCACATGAATGAAACAGATGAATTAATTCATGAAGTGTAGGATTATGCAGTCTGTCATTAGGACATGTATTACTGGGCAAGCGAAGACAAGCTATGGCTACCGTGAATATTGGATTAATCAGGTGTTCCGCACACACTGTCTGGGGCTGTCCTATAAAAAAACCTTTTAGAAAAAAAAAAACTTAAATGGGAACTGTACACAAAAGTGACTTCATTAAGCTATAATTGGTTTGGTGACAATAGTGTCCCTTTAAGTTTTTTAGTTTAAAAGAGACTGGCTGTCAATATTTTAAAAACTTTGAACTTTCACTATATTTTAGCACACTTAAATATGTGTTTTAAATGAGAGATCGAAATCATGAAAACATAAAGATTCCATTCAGTTAATAAGCATTCCCAGAAGCTGTTCTAAAAATATCCAATTCAAAGACTCATCCTCTATTTGCATATAGGTGTTCAGGGAATGACTCTGGAAATGTTCCATCTTTCTAATTAGCTATTCAGGTCTTATTTCTGTTTGACTTAGTATGAACATACTTGCTAAAAGCCTTGTAATGGGAACATTTGAGTCTTTCTCAACAGCTATTAAGATTTGTACAAAAAGATCAAAAGTAGACTAATTTAATGGTAACTGAAAATGACTATGGAAGGATAATTTAATGGGTTACTCCAACCCTTTTTAACTATTTTTTTTTTTTTAATAAATAATGCCCCATTGGGCATTGTTCTGTATCCCCCCACCACCACCATCCAATGTTTGAAAAATACATTTTAACTTATTTTTACTTACCTTGAATCCAGCACCAGACAAACCTGCTGGTGCTGCTTAGAATGCCTGTCTGCCATTATCAGAGCCGTTAAAAGCTCACTCTGAGCTGGCAAGGGGAGGGGGACAGAAAGTAGGTAGGAGAGAGCTTTAAAAAAAATTTAACGGGGGGATGTAGTCAGTGAGGTAGGGATAGAGGGCAGATACAAGCTTCCCCTTGCAGGCTCTGCCGTCAAGGGAATTAACAGAGAATGTTTATTGGCAACGTGCAGTGCATGCTGACAACAGATGTAATATATATGCACAGAATTGATATTAGGCAGACCAGGATGCCAAAGTATTGTTTGCTGGGGTTGTAACTATCCCCCGGCACAAAAGTACAAATAACTCTGGATGTGCAGTGTTACTTTCAAGCTGAAACACTGCCCTTACATATTCCTTCCTCCATGACTACGTCTACAGACGTGCTCATGGACGTTGGAATAACCCTTTAACATATATTTGCTATTAGATTTCAATATACCTCTCATGGATATCTGTACCTTTGTGATATTCAGGATATACCTCTAACTTTCATGTCTGCTAATTTCTGCAAAAATGTTAAGTATGTTAAAAAAAATTGAAAGGAACATTCCTACGGCACACTGTAGTGGATGTGATGCCAGGACGGCCCCCTGCTAATGGTTGACTGGTCTGCTGGGCACTGATCACTGCTTCTCTGACAGCCAAAAGCGTTAGGCTCTGGGTTAATCTCTGCAGTGCAGGGCTTAGCTCATTGGCTGAGAGCAGTAAGCTAGAACTCTCAGTCAATGAGCAGGCAGTGCACAGCAGGGTTTAGCTCAGTAGAGCTAATGGAAGCACCTTGCAGAGGCATCTAGCTCTCCACAGTGACATCGCACAGCAGAATCCAATTAAAATGTATGCAATAAACAAACAGGGTTATTCAATAATAAGTAATAGTAATAAGTCAAACAGTTAAATGGTTTAACTACTTAAATGGGAAAGGAGCACCATGGAACCATTGACACCATAGCCACTGACGTGTAATGTTAAGGTACTTTGAGTGTTCCTTTAATCTTTTTTTTTCCAGATTCATTGATATCTAGCAAATATTTTCCTGCCATCAATAGATTTTCAGGGTTATTCACTAAAAGTGAGAATTAAAGGTGAATTCAAAGTGAGTTTAAAGGGACTCTCCAGTTCCAGGAAAACAATCTGTTTTCCTGGCACTGCAGGTCCCCTCTCCCTCCCACCTCATCACGTCAGCCGGCGGAGGAGACTGATCACGCCCGCCGGCTGGGGAGACCTAATGCGCATGCTTGGCAATGCCGCGCACGCGCATTAGACCTCTCCATAGGAAAGCATTGAAAATGCTTTTCAATGCTTTCCTATGGGGATTTTAGCGACGCTGGAGGTCCTCACATAGTGTGAGGACGTCCAGCGGCGCTCTAGCACAGAAAACCTGTGCTAGAATCCCGGAAGTGCTCTCTAGTGACTATCTAGTAGACAGCCACTAGAGCAGGAGTTAACCCTGCAATGTAATTATTGCAGTTTATGAAAACTGCAATAATTACACTTGCAGGGTTAAGGGTAGTGGGAGGTGGCACCCAGACCACTCCAATGGGCAGAAGTGGTCTGGGTGCCTGGAGTGTCCCTTTAAACTATAAGGCCTGATTTGTTGAACTGAAAGCAGTTTGACCTTTAAATTTGAAATTCAGTTTGAATAAACCTTAACCCCTTAAGGACCAAACTTCTGGAATAAAAGGGAATCATGACATGTCACGGGTCCTTAAGGGATTAAATTCCCACTTTAGAAAATAACCATGTTTGTTTATTGTATATATTTAAATTGAAATGCCAAAAATGTTTATTACCCTCTAAACAAAAATTTTATTAGAAAGAAAGTGCAATGGATTTGATACTTTTTGCTCAGAAACCTCTAAAACTTTTTCAATCGGTGTAATAGGTTTGCAGGATCTATAGTAACTCTGCTTTCTTATGATTTTTGAAGATGCTGTGGAGTCTTCTGTTTATTGACATGTAACTATGTTAGGTGGCTCGAATTGACTTGGTGATGTGTGCAAACAATGTTAAGTAACAATTCTTTATTAATCAGTTTTATCAATTAATACCTGAAAAATCAATTCAAACACCTTAAAGGGATCCCATAGTGCCAGGAAAACAAACCCGTTTTACTAGCACTATTGTTTCTAAGGTCCCCCTCCCCCCCCACTCCTCCACTTTAGCACCCCTACACCCTCTTTCACACCCCTCCTCCCAAAGCACTGAAGGGGTTAAAACCCCTTCAGTCACTTACCTGAATCCAGCGCCGATGTCCCCTAGGCACTGGGTCAGCCTCTGCCCATGCTCCTCCCCCACCGGTCAGCCGGCGGGGGAGACCTAATGCGCATGTGCGGCAATGGCCGCACTCGCATTAGGATTTTCCAATAGGAAAGCATTAATCATTGCTTTCCTATGGAGAAAAATCTGATACTGGAGGTCCTCATGCAGAGCATGAGGACGTCCAGCGTCAGATAACTGACCAAAGGTCCGTTTGGATTCTGGTAGACAGCCACTGTGGCTTTCTGGCAGACAGCCGCTGTGGCTTTCTGGTAGGCAGCAGTTCTCTGGAACTAAGGGCAAAAGGGTCACAGCACCCAGACCACTTCAATGAGCTGAAGTGGTCTGGGTGCCTACAGTGTCCCTTTAATAAACCGCGCATGCAAACGCAGTAAATTCCATATGAGTATAATGCTTACGATGTATGAATGATTAAAGTGATAAATGATATTAGTTGATCTAATTTGCAGCAACTCCTATCACAGACATAATATCCCTACAGTGTGTTCAACCCCAAACTGAAAACCCAGAACAAATGGTTCAGATTGTACAAATGCCCAAGAGCTTCTTGCATCAAATATACATCAACACAAAGGACGCAAATGATCCATGGATCTTTTTTCTCTGCCTTTAAAGTCTGTTCTAATAAACTATGCATGCGTTAATAGGTCTTTCTTTCTCTGACTGTCAGTTTATGTCAATCTCTTTGAATCCCCTAGCACATAGTGATTGTTCAGCGCCAATTATCTGTTCTAATAGAGGAACTAGATGAGTTCCGGCTCGCTCTGAAACACTATGTGGAATCAGCATCGGCTCAGACTGGATGTTTACAGTGAGTATTTCAAACAATTCTTTATCACTTGTTGCTTAGTTTCATTTTAAAACTTGTGAATTGATCTGGCCGAGACCTACTGATTTTAAACCAGCTCCATAAATTGTCATTTTACAAGGAAATACAAAATAAATAGGATTCCAGAAATATTGAACACATCTTTTTTATCAACTGTGGTCTATTCACGAACAATAAAGACAATATTTTTTAGAATATTACAATACATTGCTTAGACAGACAGACAGTTACAAACCTATCTACAAACTTAATACCAGTTTAAATGTAAATTCCCAGATTTTACTAGTAACATGACGTAAAGTCATGATTTTATTAAAGACAAGGAGGCGAGTATTATGCATAACTCTTTCTTTATTTCCTCAGCAGCAAAGAAAGAGGAATATAAATATTATCAAAAATGAAAGAAAAAACTGTATAGGCACAACAGGCAGCCAATCACAGAATATAGGAAGTAGCTATATAAGTCCTGTGTCTCCCACAATCCCCCTCTTTCTTGCGAAACCGAAAACCAGGTAAGATGAACGGTGTCCCACTTGATCAAAACAGGATAACGGGAACAAAGCGATAACTTTAAGCTATAAAAGACAGAGAAATATGGTAATTTCTTAACTCAAAACTGCAAACTTACCAAACATAACCGTGGGGAGTCACAGGCAAAAACTGAATTCTGAAATATAAAATATATAATAATTAGTAATCAGCACAAAACGTACAAAACCATACAAAAATGATATAAATACAGACCTAATTGAAACATACCTGTAGAGCCACAAAGCATCTCCTATCCCAAATCCACACCGGGATGGTGGGAGGGAATAATACTCGCCTCCGTGTCTTTAATAAAATCATGACTTTACGTCATGTTACTAGTAAAATCTGGGAATTTTATTAAAGACACGGAGGCTCATATTATGCAAGTTGAAAACTGTGCTACCACTCGAGATGCGATGTGTAGAATTGGTCTGAAGTAGAAGTCTCGAAAGGTCGATTCTCGAGACCAATCCGCCGCTCGCATAATGTCCTCCAGACGACATCCGACTGAAGATGCTTTCGAGGCCATCGCGCCTCGCACAGAATGAGGCGTAAATACAGAGGTGTCTACACCCGCAGAGGATAACAGCCAACGCACCCAACGTGCCAGAGTAGGAGTCGAAACTGGCCGGTGAGGTGATTTAAAAGATATGAACAGATCATGCAGATCTGCTGAGCGAAGGGAACGTGTAACATCCAGGTAACCTTTGATGCAATCCACCGGGCAGAGCGCCGGACAACCTGAAAACCTAGGGTATGTAAACGACTTGGATGCAGACTTAGTCCTCCTGGATATGTCAAAAGTAACGCCTTCTGGGGTGAATGCAACGGCGTCCCAATCCAGGGCCCTAACGTCGGAGACCCTCTTGCAAGAAATCAAACAGAGTAACATCACCAACTTGGATGACAATTGCTTGAGAGTCAGTTCCAGGTTAGGGTACCACGATGATAGGAACTGTAACATCACGTTGACATGCCAAAAGGCAGAAAAACGAGGTCGAGGAGGACGAGCAAGGCGAATACCCTTGAGAAGGCGACATACAAAGGGATGTCTGCCGACAGGAGAACCATCCAAACCTTTGTGACCGGCCGAAATAGCTGAGCGGGAAAGGTTGATTGTGCGGTACGCCTTGCCCGAATCAAACAGGAACGTGAGGAACTCCAGAATCAAATGTAGAGGGGCAGATACGGGATCCATTGCCCGTTCCATGCACCAACCAGACCACGATCTCCATGAAGTTCGATAAGCTGCTCGTGTACCCGGGGCCCAGGCATTATCGAGGAGCAGGAGAGTTGACTGCGGAACGTCTGGGACAACCCAAGGTCCCCTGAAAGGAACCATGCTATCAGGGGTAACTGATGTCGCAACACCAGTTCGTGTGAGTTCCCATCCGGATCCAAAAGGAGATCCTGGAATATCGGAACCAAGCGAGGGTAGTCAATGGACAATTCCATCAGGCGAGGGAACCATGGTCGAGACCTCCATAGAGGGGTGACTAACGTCATCCGACAATCGTGGCGAACCAATTTCGAGATCGTGCGTGCGATCATGTTGAATGGGGGAAAGGCGTATATAAGACCCGGTGGCCATTCTTAGAGAAAGGCATCCATCGCCACTGCTGCCGGGTCCGGCCTCCAACTGTAGAACCTCGGTAGCTGAGTGTTCAGCCGTGATGCGAATAGGTCCACCTGGAATCGTCCCCACAACTTGTCTAGGCTCTGGAACACCGAAGTGTGCAGACGCCAATCTCCAGAGTCTCTTAAGTGTCTGGAATTCCAATCCGCCCCCGAATTGTCCAGACCTGGGATGTGTTCCGCCGTCACTGAGACGTTGTTGTAGAGGCAGAACTGCCAGAAATCTTTCGCCAGAACCACCAACATTTTGGACTTTGTACCCCCTAGGTGATTTATGTAACGAACTGCCGATACGTTGTCCATCTTGAGGAGAACGCAGCAATTCGCCCTCCCTGGGGTAAGACTGCGGATCGCGAAGGCACCTGCCAGGAGTTCCAAGCAGTTGATGTGCAACGACTTCTCTGTGTTGGACCATCTGCCTCCCGTGGAAACGTCGCCACAACGAGCGCCCCAGCCGTGTAAGCTGGCATCGGACTCTATCACCACATCCGGGACGGAACCGAAAATGGCTCTTCCGTTCCATGCCTCCATGTGTGCCAACCACCACAACAACTCGTCTCTGGACTCCGCGTCCAAAATTATCCGAGATTCGTAAGAATGACCTGAGCGAAGGTGTGATCCTTTGAGCCGTTGGAGCGCCCGGTAGTGCAGCGGGCCTGGGAATGTCGCTTGAACAGAGGCCGCGAGAAGGCCAATAATCCTCGCCAGTTGTCTGACTGAAAAGTCCGGGACACGAAGGGCCCTTCGAATTTCCTTCTGGATGGCTTTCACCTTGGAATCTGGAAGGAATAGAAACTGTCGGACGGAATCCACCTGGAAGCCCAGAAACTCTATGGACTGGGCAGGGATCAGGACCGACTTGTCCCAATTGATCAGAAATCCTAACTTCTGCAGAAGGCCGGTCGTCCATTCCAGGTGTATGAGGAGATCCCCTCGTGATTGGGATAAAATCAGAATGTCGTCCAGGTAAATAATGAGGCGAACCCCCCGGGTTCGGAGGAATGCTACCACGGGCTTCATGAGCTTGGTGTAGCACCAAGGAGCCGAGGAGAGACTGAAAGGCAGGCAGGTGAAGCGCCAACGACGCCCGTGCCATGTGAAGTGGAGATAATCCCTGAACTCCAAAGCAATGGGGACCGTGAAGTAAGCGTCCTTCAGGTCCAACTTGGCCAGCCAGTCTGACTGGCGTAGAAGGTCTCTGAGGCAGTGTATACTTTCCATCTGGAAGTGTTGGTAACGTAGAAAGGCGTTGAGGGGGCGAAGATTTATCACAGGGTGAACCCCGCCCCCTTTCTTTGGCACCAGGAACAAATTGCTCGTAAAGCCTCGGGTGGTGAACGGCAATTCCTCTATAGCGCCCTTGGACAACATCTCCACGACCTCCGCGGAAATCATCTCGTCCTGCTCCGGTGCGAGAGACAGCTCTCTGGGGGGATAAAACTGGACAGGCAATGCTCAGATCTCGCGAGAGTGAACTCTAGCCCCACAGGCTGGAGTTTACTCTCACCACTAGGACCACCAAGGAAGGCAGAAATGATCCCCCCTCCCTGGCATAAGGTAACAAGGGAGGGGGGATATTAATCAATCTGCCCCCACCTCCACTGGACCACCAGGGAAGGCAGCAGCACGGTCCCCCCTCCCTACATAAGGTAAGAAGGGAGGGGGGATCTTTATTAACTAATCTGCCCCCACCTCCACCCCCACAAATCACCCAAACATACAGCACACACACACACATACATCACACAAACAGCACACACACACACATACAGCACACAAACAGCACACACAGCACCCACACACATACAACACACACACAGCACCCACACACACACAGCAAACAAACATCACCCACATACACACAGCATCCTCACACAAACAGGACACACATCACCCACACAGCACCCACACACAGCACACACACAGCACACACAAACATACAGCACCCTCACAAACACACACAGCACACAAACAGCACCCTCACACACACACAGCACACAAACAGCACCCTCACACACACACACACAGCACACTAACAGTACCCTCACAAACACAAACAGCACCCTCACACAGCACACTAACAGGACCCTAATAAACACACACACAGCACACTACCAGTACCCTCACACACGAACAGCACCCTCACACACAGTACATTAACAGCACCCTCACAAGCGCACACACACACAAACACCATCACCCACATAGCACACTACCAGCACCCTCACACAGCACACACACACACAGTAGTGTATGTGTGTGTGTGTATATATATATATATTTATATATACACACACATACATACATACATATATATACGCGGCGTGTGCTTTTCTTTAGGGTGCACACCCTAATGCAATAGGCTGCGCACGCCTATGCATACATACATATATACATACATACATAATGACAGGGGTCCTCAAACTTTTTAAACAGGGGGCCAGTTCACTGTCCCTCAGACACTGTTGGGGGCCGGACAATAAACAATATGAACAAATTCCTATGCACACTGCACACACATGCATAAGGACATAAATACACACACACACATACAGTTGCAAGAAAAAGTATGTAAACCCTTTGGAATGATATGGATTTCTGCACAAATTGGTTATAAAATGTGATATGATCATCATCTAAGTCACAACAACTAAGTCACAATAGACAATCACAGTCTGCTTAAACTAATAACACACAAAGAATGAAATGTTGCCATGTGTTTATTGAACACACCATGTAAACATTCACAGTGCAGGTGGAAAAAGTATGTGCACCCTTGGATTTAATAACTGGTTGAACCTCCTTTGGCAGCAATAACTTCAACCAAACGTTTCCTGTAGTTGCAGATCAGACGTGCACAACGGTCAGGAGTAATTCTTGACCATTCCTCTTTACAGAACTGTTTCAGTTCAGCAATATTCTTGGGATGTCTGGTGTGAATCACTTTCAATAAAAACATGGCAACATTTCATTCTTTGTGTGTTATTAGTTTAAGCAGACTGTGATTGTCTATTGTTGTGACTTAGATGATGATCAGATCACATTTTATGACCAATTTGTGCAGAAATCCATATCATTCCAAAGGGTTCACATACTTTTTCTTGCAACTGTACTGAAACACATACAGACAGACACAGACATATACATACATATTGAAATACATACAGATACATACACACAGACAGACATACATACATACATACTAACATACACAAATACAGCTAATTTTGCTTACCTTTTTTTTTTTGCAGGTGGAAGGCTGTGGCTGATGGGAGTCGGTGTGGCTCCCGCGGCCTGGCTTTCTTCCCTCCCGCGCGGTGCGGAGAGGAGGGAGCAAGTGACGGGCATTTCCTCCTAGCAGTACTATGCGGCTGCGATTTTTTTTAAAGGGGCCTGGTCGCGCTATTGCACGGCCGCAGCGCTGACCGGGCCCCTGAAGCTATAGGGCCCATCGGGTGGCCCTAAGTGTGTGGGTCACTTGATAGGCCCCATTGGATGTAACTGTGGCAAGCTAATGGTCTGTACTTGATGGCCATCTATGAAACTTAGGAGCTCAGATCTTCACAACTCTTACTGAGAATCATATTGACAGCCCATTACAAGTTCTACAGTAAGGGAATACGCTCAGATTGCCGATTGCTATGTGCCAATACCAACCTGCAATGACTGGGTTTAGAAGATCTTATGATGCTCCAATAGGCTTATGGAGCTACAGAGAATGTCCAGGCCTAACATCAGTGATAGCGTTTAATGGGTGCAGCAAATCTCATATATAAAACATAGTCTAAATAAAATGTAGGCCATTCTAGGTTTCAACGCATTTATAAAACGAGTTTGTTTAGACTAATTAGTTGGTCTGAATTACTCCTTTTAAAAAGAAAACAAGCAAGAAAACAAAGAGAAATGTATAAGTATCTTGCCTAAAATTAAAATGTAAAAGCATGTCTTTTCTGTCTGGAATTCAAAATATTTTCTCTTGAATACAATAAATGCATATTATTTAATAAGTCTATAATTGTGGGGACGAGATAATTAATTTTAGCAAATGGGTGAAGCTGTGAAGTCTATCCAAATCAAGTTAATTTCCTGTATTGGCTACATTGACCTATTATTTGATGTATAATCCCGAAATTTCTCGGCAATACCCTGTTTGGCAAATAAACCCCAAAATGTCAATATCGTAAAATAAAAACAAGCAGTAGATGTGAGATAATCATATAGCACCATCTGCTGGTAATTTATGGTATCATGAATTTCTTTTGAAAAAAAATCCAATATAAATTGCCATTTCAGAAGTATTGTATATTTGACAAGATACGTAAATGTTAATAATTTCTTGTGGCTTTCTTAAAAAGAAAAAAAAAGATTCTAAGTGAGCAACACTTGAGCATATATATTGCTGATTGTCAGTAAAAAGAATACAAAAATAAAAATGTGATTTTTAATTGTTTTGGAAGATTCGATTTATGATTTCCAGAACATCAAGTAAAATGTACTTCCCAAACATCTTCGGTGCCAACACCTGACACCACTAATCTTTGTGGAATAAAATCTAAAGGCGATTTAAGACACATTTAATCAGTAATATAGATTGTTCAGATGAGCAAAATAGTTTTCCTTAATATTTCTTCAGACTATAAGACACAAGATAATGCATTTTGTTTATATTATATATTTTTTTTTATGCAGTGTTGCCATTCAGAAGCTTTCAAATGAGTCTCGTTTCATACTTTATGAATTTTGGGAAAGTAGCAACATCTGGAAAAAGTAAGTACAGTTTTTACAACATACATTATTCGGTATCACATTACTTATATCTTTTATGTTCTGTTTGTTGTTTTAAATTACATGACAGGTTGATGTTACCTTTGCTGTTATTTTCATAACTTGTGTATTTTAAAACACTAGATCAAGTGTTTCATCTATTTGCTGAGCACCTTTTACCTGCGCGCTAGGCTAACTACAATTTGACTTTTCTTTTTCCTTTTCATAGCCATCTTCAAAGTAATTACAGTAAAACCTTTCAAAGAAGTAATGTCGACTTTCTGGAAACTCCAGAGCTAATGACAACCATGCTAGTACCTGGTTAGTATCTCTATTATTTTATCTTGTAGTACTGTGATAAAAAAAAATTTCGTTCAATGCTTCTGCGCATGTTTATTTTTCCAAATAACTTGCACTCAGAGTAAGAACATTTTGCGGTTGTTCTCACATTGTACAACACAAATGGTCTGCACAGAGACTTGCTCTTCTGAATAATTCATAATAATTCACCTACACATATCTAGGGCAACTAATATATTCTTTAAATTTAGGAGAGAACCCACTGTGACTGTCAGTGCTGCTGTTCCCATCGCATATACACATTCAGCTTTTATCGATTCAGCAGTTTCAGAACCGCATGGCGTCTGCATTCTATCCTGCAATGAATGTGGCTCTTCCTTTCTCTTTTTTAAAAAAGCAAAACTATGTCATTCAAAATAATACCCTCTCGAGGTTTTATTATGAACTGCAGAATACTAGATAATAAAATATTTTGGCCATTATGACAAGGATTTGTTCTTAGTCTAAATGGTGCAAAAGGTTTCACTTACATATAGTATAGCATATATAGTATTTGAATATTGCCAAGAGACCAGTTTATCTTTCACAAAATTGCAAAGGAAGGTTACAGGGATTAACTGTATTGTTTAAATTAAAATTAGAAAACAAATCAAAACATAAAATACATCACAGATATGCACTCATTTGAGGCATATATTCAGAGGACACAAAAGAAGTTGACTACTATTTTCAAAAGCCTGCCTCTAGATTAAAGGGACACAAAAGGGTCAGGAACACAAACATGCCTAGCTAACCCTGTAGTGTTAGTGGAAATACCCGAATATTTGTGTAAATTATTCAAAAAATGTGGTCCTATCGCCATGTAATTTACAATTATAGATTAATGCAGTCTAACTAAACTATCTAGTTTGTCCTCTGTTTAAACTTTAAACAATGGTTTCTGAATGGCAATTGGAATTCATGTTAATTGTTTTAAAAAGAAACTTCACAAATTTCGTTTCCACAACTGAAAGGCTGTACACAAGTCACAGTGCACCATGGTCATTGACACAATGATACAGAGTAGAACGGCATAAAGTTTACCATCACTGGAGTGATAAGTCACGTCATGTGAAAGTTTACAAACAATGTTTTCTGACTGAATAGTATAAACTGCAATGTTCAGTATACACTCATTGGAAAATGAAAGTACACCCTCTTCGAATTCAATGGTTTTACATATCATGATATAACAATCATCTGTTCCTTAGCAGGTTTTTAATGTGGCATGACCTATTTAACACAAATATTGTTGTGGATGACTTTTGGCCCACTCTTCTTTAGAACATTGCTTCAGTTCATTGAGGTTTGCTGGCATTTGTTAATCACAGCTCTCTTAACCCCTTAAGGACACAGCTTCAAAAGTTTGTCTTACCCTTAAGGACACAAGCCATTTTTGCATTTTTTGCTCTTTGTGTTCAAACGCAATTTGCTTCTCTGTCATTAATTGCACCAACACATATTATATACCGTTTTTTAGAGTGCAAACAGGTCTTTAAAAATGCCAAAATGTCGCAGTTTTGGCAATAACAGCATGTGCATAATATGTCCAGCTTAGAAAAAGTAATTCAAAATAAATTCATTTATGTGTCTTGATTTATAGAGTACACAATATGTATAGGATTTCAGCTCATCTTGAAAGTTACAGGTCACAAAATACAAGGACTAAAATAACATTTCAATGTGAAACTATTTTAGAAGTTGGTATGTTTGTCTTGTAGGTTTAGTAACCATCGCAGAAAACAAAATTGCCACACAAAAGTATATATTTATATAAAGTAAACATCACAGGCTATTTACCTAAGGTTAGTTTGACACTTTTTATTTAGCCATTTCATCGCCAATCTCTGCAAAATATTGGAGTAAAATTGTGTTTTTGTAATGTATATTTTGTAAAGCTGGTGTGTGCTATTCCTGCACAGAACCCCATATTGTGTTCAGCTACATCTGCTGAGTATAGCGATACCCCCATTGTATGCCTTTGGCACTATTCTGTGAATCTAAAATGCCGTATAAGAGACAAGAGACAACTATTTCAGTTTTTATAGTTAGAATTTTCGTAGATGGATTTGACTGGCCTATGTCTCATTTTAGGGTATTATAGCAGTGTGACTGTTCAAATAACCACACAATGGGCTTTTATTTGATAAAGCAGACACCCCAGGGTATCTTATATGGTGTATATTGTGTCTTAACTTGTCACCATTTTTTCACAAATTTATGTCAATGTTTGTGGTGAGGGGAAAAATTGCATTTTTACATGTGTTTTTTTTCAAACTTTGAATTTTTACGCTGTGTCGTTACCCCACTTTGGAGTTTTTTTAGCAGGCTATATATTCCAACTATCCCATAAAAGCATACTATTTCGTAAAGAAGACATCCCAGGGTAATTCAAAAGGCATATTTTGAACCTTAGCCTGAAATAATTTTTCCGCTAGCTTGTACCAAGTGTAGGGGCAGTAGTGGCAGTAAGCATTTTTCTGTCTTTTTGACACACACAGTGAGTTTGTACTGTGTATTTTGCAAACCTTATGTGTGCTACGGGTCTTTAATACTTCATATGTTGCTCAGCTATGTAGTCTGAGCACAGCAATACCCACATATGTAGCTTTGCCAAGTATATGTGGACGTTGAAGGGGCACATTTGAGACACAGCCATTTAAGATTTTTTTTAAACGTAGAATTTTTACACTGGGTCCATACCGCACTTTAGAGTTTTCATAAAAGGTTAATTATTCCAACTACCCCCTAGAGGCATACCATTTCTTAAAGGAGACACCCTAGGGTATTTCAAAAGACATATTTTGAACCTTAGCGTGAAATCATTTTTCCGTTAGCTTGTACCAAGTGTAGTGGTAATAAGCATTTTTTTCGGCTTTTTTTAAAACACACATAGTGAGATTGTACTGTATATTTTGCAAACCTTATGTGTGCTACGGCTATATAATACTCCCTATCTTGCTCAGCTATGTCGTCTGAGCACAGCAATACCCCCATATGTATCTTTGCCAGGTATATGTGTACATTGAAGGGGGACATTTGAGACACAGAACTTTAAATTTTTACGCTGTGTCCATACCCCACTTTGGAGGTTTGTTTGTAGGTTAATTATTCCAGCTACCATAAAGGCATCGGGTTTCACTGCAGCATGTGTAATCGCTCTTACTCCCGGTCAGTGAAACTGCCCATGGTAGTGTGCATCCGACACGGAGACACACTACAGGAACATTAACCCCACGATTGCCGCGATTGTGGCAATCTGGGGTTAATTTTCATTTTGGACGGAAATTTTCCGTCCAGCGTCCTTAAGGGGAGTGCTGCAATGACGGAAAATTTCCGTCCAGCGTCCTTAAGGGGTTAAAAAGGTGGTCCCACTTGCTGATGATCAATTAATCAAATGCATTTGATTTGCAGCACCTGTCTGCTCCTTAACCTCCTACTTCCTATGGAAGCAGTAAGTGTATACATAACTGTTCCCACACGTTTTTTTCCATTTTGGCTTTATTTTCGATTAAATAAATCACGACACAGTGTAATATGTCATCTGTTGTTTAAGTCTAAGAAATAGATGATTGTTATTGTGTCCGTATAAGTAAAAAAATAGAACCAAAGAGGGTGTACTTTCTTCTTCCTGTTACTGTAGTTGACCTAGAGCTGGTCTACACAGCATTAGCTAGGTACCTTGGATATTGGAAGGGATATCTAACACTATAACGCACATAAATATTCTAGACAAAAAAAGCCTGGTCTCTTTGCCCTACTAAATCTAAAAATATCAGAGTAGTATAAGGGTTGAGCAGTGATATGCCTGAAGGTCGTCCAAGTTCTCCTAGTGTCTCTTTAGACGCAGAGTATTTGACATCAACTGTACCTAGAAGTGACTATTTCATTTTTTGGAATTCCTTAACATATTCAAGCAAAATGAACACTACTGCATTAGAAAAAAACATATATTCCAAATGCTATAGTGCCCTGAGACTTATCTAAGTGTACTCCTCCTCCCCCCTAGTGTGAGGGTTTGAAAGGTGAGTATTCATTCATTACCGCTCAGTCCTCGCGCTGCTCCACTTTTTTGGCTGAGAGATCATCAATGTTGTTGACCGACAGGGAAGCATTGAGAAACTAGTGAGCCTGCATGGAAAAATGCTGCTCCACGCCAATCAAATGCTGCTCTAAGAGCAGGATTTGATCTATAACCGAGTTATAGCAGAGGAAGTGCTTCTAGTGGCGGCCTTCCAGACAGCAACTAAACAGTCTACCTGATACTCACTTGAGGTGTGTTAACCCTGCAATGTAAACATACTCTATATTTTTAATATTTATGAAATCTCGTAACTCCCAACCTGCAAACATTAAATTAACCAAAGTGAAAGTGGCTGCAATAACTAGAAATATAACTGTCTCTGTTTATATCACACATTTGGTAAACCCTTATTTTAAATATTTTAATTTTTTTCAGCTTCGTGGTGGGTACTGAATAACAACTAAGTGAACTTTCTCCAAACCTTCTGTGGACCGGTGGTAGAAGTTCAAAATTGTAAAAAAAAAATACAATCTGTACTACTATATATAACTACATGTAATATTTGGATAAACATTGTAACCTGCATAGTGCAGTGAGAACAAACGCTGTGACATGCTGTGTGCATAAGTATAATCAACAACATGATCCACCAAACGTGGTACAGTAATTTGTGTCATTAAAGTGAGGAGATGCACTAAAGCAGGCTTCCCCAAACTCTGGCCCTCTAGATGTTGCTGAACTACAACTCCCATGATTCTCAGTCTATCTATTTAATTCATAGAATCATGGGAGTTGTAGTTCAGCAACATCTGGAGGGCCAGAGTTTGGGGGAGCCTGCACTAAAGTATAGCTTTCTATACGAAAAAGAAAAATCTAGGTTTTCATTTATAAGTCATGAGTTTGTCTGTCTCACTGTAAATATCCATTCCCATAGTTAGAACTGTCCGAACTCCGCCAGTATGCTTGAAGATACAGCACTAAATGAAAACCTTTACTTTCCAGGATTTTGTAATTTTATGTTACCTTACCAACCCCCCATACATAATAGATATGTGTTTGCGATGTCTGAAAAATAAAATTAAACGTAAAAATTCTCATATTCCTATGTGGAACTGAATGCGCTCATCTTTACTTACTTTCATCCACCATTAAAAGACTTGCCCTCTGGATCTGTCAGTGGACGTAGAGAGTGGAAGAATAAAATTGTGCCATGGCTGTTCCTGGATTGTGATGCCAATTGTTAAAACTATCACATGAAAAAAGTCAACATGTGATATAAATGATTTTCAATAGTGTAATTGAATAAACACTCCCAGCACCATATTTAGATTTGTGTGTCAATTTATCTGGGACCCCTGTGTGCCTGCACCACCTTGGCTTCTGATGCCAAATGTCTTCACTGAGCTAAGCAGGTCCAAGACAGGACCTCAGTCGGGTTGAAAGCACACACTTGGTATTCTCAACAATTGAGAGAACTCTTGCACTGCTCTGCATAGCTAAATGGAGTTAACCAGATTGCCATGCAAAGACAGTCTGGATGCAGGGCTGAGACCTAGGTAAGTTGTCAAACCATTATAGAACAATTTGGCAAATTACTCTGGGAGGGTACCAGGCACTCCTAGCACCATAATCACTAAAGCAGGCCTGTACTGGTTCTAGTGCTTGGAGTAGTTCTTTAAAAGAATGTTGTAGGTGCCACTGATTTTACCTAAAATTTAAATAGATTTTCTCACTCCTCTGGGTGGTATATTTATTCCTCATTCTCAGATCCTCTACCAGAGGACTAGAAGTCGGAGGGTTCTGTGCAGTATCTTCTGGATAGCGATCTCAGAAGTCCTACCTAGAATCTGTTAAAACCATTCCCCTCCCCACCATGGGGGTCCCTTCTCAATGAATGATACAGGAAACCCAAGATAAACACTTTGAACATCTTTATGCCTCTTCTGTGAGTTTTAGCTGATCTCTCTAGGCACAGGTAAGGGGACTACATCTGGAGTACACTTAACGTAAGGAGCCCTAACAATATGTAAGCAAGCACAAACAGAATTTATTAGAACACTGTGTATTCACACATAGGAGAGGTGAAATGTTTAAGGAAAGGGCACAAAGTGATATTGAAAGGGAATGGAGTGAGCTGGGGGGTGAGGGGGTAGAGGTGTCATGGAGGAGCACTGGTGTGCAACCTCCCTCCATATCAAGACTCCCCTAATTGCTTATTTCTCCAATGAATTACCCCTCAGCTATGAGGTGCAGGGGGGAGTTTATTTCTTGGAAAGAATTGCCATGGTGCACATAACTTAAGCATATATAGCAAATTTCACACATACATTGAATTAGAAATTATTATTTTTAAATGCTGTTTAATTATTTATTCAGAAATTTTACATTACTGCTTGTTATATTATATGTAATAGCTTATGTCAATTTTCGTAATAGCGTTTTAATTAGTATGTGAGAACATATCTGTGAGTTCAAGGCCAAATGGATAATATTCTAGGACTACCTGCCTGTAGGTGTAAAATGGGTGCTGTGTCCTTGTCCAACTGTCAGAACCTCTGAAACTTGAACATTTTAAGTTACCTCTGTTGGTAATATTTTTTTTGAGTGCTACTTACATGTATTGTGTTCAAATTGGATATAAAATTAAATATATATTACATCTCTTTCAATATTACCCATGACATGTTAAAAGTTAGAAAATATCTGCCATTATACATCAGCAATGCAAAGTACAGACATATGTATTTGAGGTTACATGTCATTATATATGTTTTGCTTATTCGTTCCAATTATAGTTTAATTGTTTTTTTTTTTAAATAGGGTTACTACATGTGTGTTCACATGTGTTATATGAACACCATGAACAGTGTCCAGTGGAAAGCTACAGATCTCCATTGGATTTCTTTGTCTGTCTTTTGCAATTATAAACAAAGTTACTGTACTAAAATATATAAAAGGGTGAAAGAGAGCGCACAAAAAAGATATACAATAATACTTATAAGAGAATGGTACAAAGTACCTCTAGATAATAGCTGCTAAACAAAAAAAGAACTTCCCAAATTCAATGAATAAACTGTAAGATATTGTGTTGTCAGCGCTTAGTGAATAATCCCCTTAGATATAATCAGGGGTAAAGGTCTTAACAAATGTATCTATAATAATTAGAAACAGCAATAGCATATAGTGTTAAGAGTGTCAATATAACTGATAGTAACAATCAGATTGTAACAAAAAAATCTAAATTGCATCTCAGTCCAGTATAAAATATGTAGCAGGGTCCAAAGTGACAGGAGGTCCACAGTGTTGTTTGGGAACACAATCTTTGACTTTGAATCCCTTAAAAAAGACAGAAAATATATATAGTGCAATACTGTATTTAATGTCTTAAAACACCAATGGAATCCCCCTCCCCAACATAGGAACCCTTACAGAAGAAAAATGTGGTGCTTATCTCTAAGGACCACAATCAAAGCTTATCTGGCTGCAATCTTATCTCTCCTCTGCTTCAAGGATGCCGTCGCTGGCTGTGGATTCAGTAAAAGTTCTCCTCTTTGTAATTCTGCCTCCAGTTAGCATAAAAACTTGTCATGCAGAGAGCAAAACAAGATAAAATGCAGGATGATGGATCACCTAATCAACGCGTTTTGCCCCTCTTAGTGGGCTTTTTCAAGGGAAAAAGCCCACTAAGCCCATCATCCTGCATTTTATCTTGTTTTGCTGTCAACACTCTGCATGACAAGTTTTTATGCTAACCGGAGGCAGAATTACAAAGAGGAGAACTTTTACTGAATCCACAGCCAGCCTTAGTGCAACGAGGCGAACGCTCCGGAAGGCATCCTTGAAGCAGAGGAGAGATAAGACTGCAGCAAGATAAGCTTTTATTGTGGTCCTTAGAGATAAGCACCACATTTTTCTTCTGTAAGGGTTCCTATGTTGGGGAGGGGGATTCCATTGGTGTTTTAAGACATTAAATACAGTATTGCACTATATATATTTTCTGTCTTTTTTAAGGGATTCAAAGTCAAAGATTGGGTTCCCAAACAACACTGTGGACCTCCTGTCACTTTGGACCCTGCTACATATTTTATACTGGACTGAGATGCAATTTAGATTTTTTTGTTACAATCTGATTGTTACTATCAGTTATATTGACACTCTTAACACTATATGCTATTGCGGTTTCTAATTATTATAGATACATTTGTTAAGACCTTTACCCCTGATTATATCTAAGGGGATTATTCACTAAGCGCTGACAACACAATATCTTAATGTACTAAAATGTTCACAGTTGAGGAAGTGGTCTCTTACTCAGCCACATAGACAAGGCATATTCCATTAGATCCGAAAACTAGAAACAGTCTATATCACAAGAATACAAAATTCAATAATATATTAATAATTCAATTGTTATGAACTATGCTCTGAAGTATGATATATACACAAACACAATGCTTTTGTAATTTAGTTTTTGGTGGTCCTATGTATTATTAAAAAACCCTATACAAACAAACCATCTATGCCTTTGTTCCTATAGCCTGTTTTTGCAGCTCATTAGCTTCAAGTTTAGTTGTGATGGACAAACCACTTGCAAAGTGTGGAACAAAATGTTGTGGGGGAAACAAACAAAAAAAAAAAAACCTTCGACTCCGCTAAGGTTGAAGTACCAATATATTTATTTAAATTGGACGACTCTTTAAAGGAACACTATAGTGTTTGAAGAATACAAACATCCATTCTTAATGCTATAGTGCTATAGATTTCTGCCCCCTTCATGCAAAAAGGGTATTGTTTTCTTTGTTGACACTCACTACTCGCAGCCGCCCATTCTGCCTCATATTCTGTTTCTAATTTTTTTCAATAGGATTAGAAGTGCAAGTGTCTCCAAACAAATGCATTTCTATGAAAAGCATTGTCATCAAATCGCCACAGAACAGTTTTGGATTCTGATCTGGACGTGGATGCACCTTCTAGTAGCTGTCAGGAAGACAGCCACTACTTAGCCCTGTAATAAGAGAGAGCATTTTTTATTCACTTTATATTTTGAGAAAAATTAAATAACTAGGTAATTCTGCAATGCTTCTTGTGCACAAATATTTGCATTTTAATTAAATTTTTAAATTAAAAAACTATTGAAATTCTGTACAGCAAATACACAAGAGAAGGATGAAGAATTTAAACAGATTTAAATTATTTCGAACAAAGCAGAAAAACATTATAAATCTATAATGTATACCAATTTGAATGTACATTATTTAAACCTAGTACAACATTAGCAGGTCAGTAATGGCTTAGATAAACTGGCTCTCGGATAATTTCAAATATATATGCAAGTAACTGCAGATGTTTAATGTGTGTTCTTAAGGAAAGCAGGATATGCCAAACATACAGATAAAACACAAATGTGAAATCAATGTGAGACAATACAAAACAGCTCAAAATTACAAAACTAATCTTATAATAAACTGTAAGTTTATGGCCTTCTTCGCCTCTAAAATATTTTGTATGCAAGTTACTTGTTATCAAATAGCCACATTTTATAATTGTAAAGTGCTGCAGAATATGTTGGCGCTATATAAATGACAATAATAATATAATAAGCAGACTATACTTTGCACCATAATACATAAGCCGCATCCATAAATGTCCCATATCACTCAAGCAGCAGTAACCAAAAAAATGAAAACTTTATCCAATCTGGTTTCATACAGCTCCCTGTTGTCTCGATCTATTTTTTTTTTTCTTGAAAATAAATAAGGAAAGGTATGGATTATTATAGCAGTCAAGTTGATTAAACCGGACAATGTATATAGCTTAAGCAAGGCTCTGTTTTAGTTTTCAGTCATATTTACTCACAATACATAAGTAAAATGAATTTCACAGATGGGCAAACAGACATCACGAGCGGAGGAGAACAAAATGTCTGCATATAAATCATTAAGACATGGGGGCACAAGGAAAGAAAAAAATATTTGACAGGTCTCCTCTTTAATGTTCTCTAAGTTTGGTCTATGAAATAATTTCTTGACCTTAAAGGGACACTCTAAGCACCATATGTGTATACTGCTTATAGTGAATTTAAGCTGAAACATTGCAGTCTCTTTCAAATGAAAGAGATTAAAGTTACATCAGAAAGGTTTTTAATAAAGCATATTACACAGAATAAAAACATATTGTTCCTCTGACATGTGTAAACAGATCTCCATTCAGCAAACAATCCTACCCGAAATTAGAAATATGTTGTAGACATAAAAATATAACCATGCCAAGCAAGTTAATAAAATAGTGATATACATATCACTAATTATGTCGGTTTTACTTGAAAGATTCAATAATATTCACAATGACCATAAAGATTATGTACATATTTTAAATATACAAATATTTTTTAAATATTTAGCTTCAAAATATGCAGCCAAAATAGATCGCCATTAGGTTTTGTTTTATTATTTTCACTTTTTAATAGTGGATGGTTTCAACAGAATTACTGTTTGTTAGAAAATCTGATGTAAATTAATTTGACAAATGATATTCCAATGAAGAGGAAATATTCTTCTTAGATGTTCAAATATATTGTCCAATATTTTAAGGCATCAGGGAGTATTTTATTCTTCAGCTAGACACAGGTGATGTCAACAATCCACTGTCAACTTGAATCCTGGATACCTAGATGAAAAAGTGTAAAAAAAAAAAAAAAAAAATTAAAAAACAACACTACGCAGTCCAGTCAAAATAAAAATATAACAAGAATTACCAAAAAATTAAAAAAATAAGACATTTAATTAAATAAAGGACTGTGTTCCTTGATATACGGATATAAATGCCAATAATAAATATAGCCTAAACTAGCATTTAACATTGTAACATAAAGAGGCAATCTAAGGGGTTAACTATCATTAAATATTTTATTATTTTAATAATAATAAAAAAACACTTACGGGCTTATCCAAAACAATTGGATGATCTGGTAAATAGGCTGGTTTTTGCTTGGATACGGACATGTTAGACAGCTTAATCAGGAAATCTCGTGTATAGGTAATTCTACCTGCAGACAGAAGCACCAATGTTTAATAAAAAATTTCAATCAAATTGCTTCACAGCACAGAACTAACTTAAGAACAGAATGGAAGTTTAGAATAATACTCAGCTTTCCCACAAGTATTTTAAAAAGTTTTCCCATTCCCTTACCACAAAGAACTAAAAATATTTAGCGAGTCTTGATTGCTAGACAGCAGGTCTATGTTCGGGGAAATCCACCTAACAGAGACCAGCTCACTAGTGCGGGGGAAATCCCCCGAATTTCCTGAACATAGACCAGCTCTCTAACGTGGGGAATCCCTTAAATATATGTTATGGGGAATTCCCGAGACTCAGATTCGGGGGCTCACTGCTCTAGAGAGCTGTTCGTATGTCCGAGCAGTCAGTAAGTGAGGACTACTGACCAGACAATTAGTACACTGCTCTGCAGGAAACAAAGCTTAAGGTCCATTTTCTAAACAAAATCAATGCACTGTCTGATAAGTATAGTATCAACATTAAAATGCATTACAGCTACAACACATTAACAAAAAATATATATTCACAATTGCAGATTGATCATTGTTGCAAATATTGACAGTCTGCAGCAATGGCAGGAAAGAAGCACAGATCTCTCACTTAATCCTAGTCACACCATTAATTTCAATATCAATATTCCATCAGTATTTTAAAAATGCAATATTTAAGAAGAGTGAACTCAAACCTAGTGCGCAATTAACCTTTTATATTGGCTGCTAAAGCTTGGTGTTATCTTTCCAAGAATGATATTATCTAGTCAGAAGTAAGATAAATAGCTAAATTATGCTGCCTTTTATTTGCACTTACACAAGCATAGTCCACTAGAAGAAATAACCAAATAAATTCATATGAAATCTGCCAATTACCTTTTCTGCTTAGAGGTTGTGGTCCTTCTGGTTCATTAGGAACCACAGAAGAACTTAACTCTTCATTGTTGTTATTTGAGCACCACTAAACCGAGAAGAGACAAAATTGGCAAAAAAAATATTTGTTTTAGAAGTCAAACACAAAAAAAAACAAGATTATCTGGCTAGGCAGGCACAACATGCAGTAACTGTTTGTCAACATGATTACTAGCAAAAGTCTCAATTAATGAACACCAGAACAAAAAAAATAAAAAAGCTAATCCCTCATAAAGAAAAAAAACAAACAAAAAAAACCCCCCAAAACACAATATAGACATACCAAGTCAATATGATCACCACGATCTTTTGGAAAGCAGCCTGCAAGATCTTCCCGGTATTTAATCATATACACTGGCGCTAAAGTAGGGTAAAACCAGAATTAAAGCTTGATCATTGCTCATAGTGGAACACATCATATATCCATTATTTTAAAACTCTCCAAACTCCTAAAGCACTGCAGCTGGTTTAAGTGCTTTAAAAGTTAATAGAGTGCCCCTGTCTTTCTTAACAAGTACACAGATTTCAAGAGAAAATCTACACTTTTAGAAAGCTCCTATGTTGCTACTTCTACAATTTGCATATGGGGTAGTTACATGCAATACAAAACAATATTCACACAGAGCTGGTTTGCACGATAAAATGGACACCTGAATATGAGCACATTAAAAAAAGAAGAGATTGAAGACGTCAGCCCTCACAAATTCACGATGATGTAAATTGGACATTACCCAAAGTTAAAGCCTCCCTGAGCTTTTTCAGTGCCTTCAAAATAGATCATAAACACAAAGTAGTTCTGACAGCCTAGCTTTCAAACACTACTCCTTTTTTGTCATTTGTCTTGACTGCAACAAGAGTGTAAGCATTTCTGATTGACTCCTCTCCAATTCATACACAGTGCTTCTGCCTGGATCATGTTCCTTTCCTACTGCTGCATGCAACGCTGACTTACTTGCAGAAGATTTTTACCAGTCACATTTGAAAGGTCCTAAAGCTCTGTTCCCTCGAGTGTATGGCTTTATTAATAAATGTTCCCAACATGGCTCCTTTGAATTTGGTACGAGTTGGAGGGAAGTACATAAGCAAAAGCATTTTGTATAGAATTTATTTTTAAGCCACCCAATATCTCTGAATCATCTTAATACATGAACTAAGTCTCATCCTCTATCAGAATTTTCAAATACATCCTCCTTTTAAATCATTCCACCAACTCCTGCTCTTGTATTTCCCACATAATTATTCTCTAGCCAACACATTTATTGTGTCTTCACCTATGGTTACAATCTTTTTATACAAACCATTATCTGCTCCCTGTGTGTTTGGACTTTAAATTTGCAGTTTATCTACACTGCACTAGATATAAAATAAATGTTTAATATATGGCTCACCAACAAAAAAAATAAGAAAAACCTGTCAATATTAGTTCATCATACAAAAGTGAATGTCAGATAAACCATTAACAAAAGCATATTTGACCATCTAGTTTGCCTTTCTTAATTTTTTATTGTATTTTTTTTTAATAATAGGTCTACTAAGCTTTCCACTAACCTCCTAAATTATTTTTCAAACACAGTGGAATAGGGATAACTCCCAGTTAGCATGATATATAGTAAAATACCAGAAGTGGGTGGAATGAGCAAGTGCTGAAAATTCACTTATAATCTTAACAGACTAATGGTTTCTGAAGGTCTAAGAAAACATTTGTAGAATCAGCAATGGTATGTAAAATAATCTACCCACCTGTCTTGATCAGTCTCTGGGTTGGGGAGTAGGTTGTTTGTCGGGGGCTTTGAGGCCCATTTTGATGGTCTGTCTTTGACTCTAGAGTCCATCGGCAGTTGACTGTGGATAAGATGAGGGCAATAAAAAAATAAAAAAAAACACAACAGTCTTTAACATGTGCTTTAAAAAGTGTTTACATTTAAATTTGAATTCCTACCGGACGATTGATTACATTCAATAAGCCAGTTTGGTTTAAAGTGTGCAAATCTCTCCATTAAGGATTCAAATACATCCAATATGCACAAGCTGCGGATGATGTTAAAAAGAAAAAACTAAGCATGTGTGCTTTGGAAATGTAAAGCTTACGGAAGTGTCTTGCTCCAAAAAGTCTGCTCTAAGACACCAGAACATTCAATGCATGGAGTCCTTTGTCGTCCAGGACCTTCCAACATGTGCATGTGGCATTCACATATTGGGCAAGTCAAGCACACTTCCATTCCCCTGCTCTGAAGAAAGCCTGTGCCAAGTCTGTGTAAAGCTTGCATTAGCCTGCACAATTGGCGGCTCAGGAGATTGAGGCATACTGCTTGCTTCATACAATTATGAACAGAGCTGTGAATAAGTTGAACGTTGCTATCTATTTAAACTATGTGATGAGTGGAACTACAGCTTAAATGCTTATCCCACATATAGCAGTCTACCTATATGTACTGCAGTGTACACTTGCAGTACATATAGGTAGACTGCTGCTCAAGCCCCTTGGTACCATCATGCAAACTCCCCTCCAGGTACAGGCGGGTAAGCAACACCAACAATATTCTAAAGCCTGTCACCCATCAACATGACTTCAGAGACTAAAGTCATGATATAGTAAAAATTAAACTGCCAACCATCTCCTAAAAGCTCCAAAATGTTTTTAGAAACATAGAATGTGATGGCAGATAAGAACCATTCTGCCCATCTAGTCCGCCCAATTTTCTAAATACTTTCATTAGTCCCTGGCCTTATACCTATCCCACGCATGATTAACACTCCTTTCCTGTGTTAACCTTTACCACTTCAGATGGAAGGCTACTCCATGCATCCACTACCCTCTCAGTAAAGTAATACTTCCTGATATTTTTAAACCTTTGCCACTCTAAATTAAGACTATGTCCTCTTGTTGTAGTAGTTTCTCTTCTTTAAAATATAGTCTCCTCCTTTACGGTGTTGATTCCCTTTATGTATTTTTTTTTTTTTTTTTTTAGGTGAGATCATTGTAAAGTAGAGGTCCAGTTCTGAATCTTAACATACATTTCCTATGCCGTGATATCTAGGTATGGCTGAGTTTATAATATAATTACTTCTATATAATCATAAAATAACAAGCACCTACCAGTTTCAGACACACCACGGCGAATTGGTCTTGCCGGCTTAAGTGATTTGCCAATTAGTTTTTTGACGTCCATTTGTTCCCACATTAAGTTATTCCATTCTTAGGATAAACATGAGAAATACATAGATTTAAAAATGTAATACATGTTGAAAAGATAGTAAACCTCTTGTAAGAAGAGCATGTTTCAACAGTTTCCTATTTTACTTTTAGTGAAGATTTTTAGCACAAGCAAACCCCCAAAAAAACCAACAACATGCTATATTAGGAAAACTTTTTTAAAAAAATTTAAATCTTTCATGGCCTTCACAATGTTGTTCAGCAAACTATTTCACTTTGATTCAGCTACTATTTTCTGTTCAGTTTATACAATTTCTTCTGTAGTTCACTTTACTTACAACTGAAAATACAGAAACCACAACAAAATGAATGTGCACCTGCCATTTTCAAAAGGATGTCATTGTAATAGTAAAAAATTTATAAGAGAATAGAGCGAGCATTGGAGAAAAGAATGAGAGGGATAGATGCATAGTTAATTAACAGTACAGTTGGGGATAGCATTCGGGGGTTTGGGGAATAATTCCTCTGGTCTCTAGTCAGGGTACTGGCTCAAACAAATCAAAAGGCTTGGTACAATAAAGTAAGGCCGTTTGTGAATGGCCAGATCAGCAAACCCATGTAGATATTTACCTGGTTTGAACAGCTAACTAAAATACTTCCAAATGAAAGTACATATATGGCTGAAATAACTTAATATGCCTTTTGTGAACAAACAAATTAGTTTCATATTATAATTTGGACTAAAAAACATTCAGCGTTTAGTGAAAAGATCTTGGCACACAGACATAAGAAGAGGTTAAGGTTAAGTTAAAAGGTTTCTAAAAACTAGTTTGAAAGGTGAAAGGGTTGCCAGTCATGTGTGCCAGGGGTGCAACTAGCCCTGGCACAAAAGTACATATAACTCAGAAATGCTGCACATACAGATTTCTACCACCACGACTATTTCTAAAAGTGGTAATATTGGTTGTAGTATCCCTTTAAACATTGTCAGGTGCAAGGGTGTCAGCAAATGAATGTCATGTTAAAACAGTACCATCACTTTTTCTCCCCTTGTGAATCCATGGCTTAAAATGTTACTACTAGTCAGCCTTAAAAGTTACCTGCCACCACAAATAAGCACAAAAAATTTTTTTATTTTTTTTTATTTTTTTTTAATGTTTTATTTAGAGTTGCCATCTGGCCTTTATTTTACCAGAATATGCAGTATTTTAGGAGGTCTGCGAAAATAAAAATGCAAAGGACAGTATTTTTCCATCTGGACTTCCGGGAGAATGGTGAGAGAAATGGAGCCATACATGGCAGGTATACGCATTGCTATATATACACACACACAGACTCAGAATGTGCTCACTACTATACACACTCTTAGACAAAGCATTCACACTATAACACACTGCTGTACATACACACTCACACAGTTTACACATGTTCAGACAGCATAATACAATTGCACACACTGACAATACTACACACAAACACACTTGGACACAATATACATGGCTGGGATGTAGAAATTACAACATGCAGTTGCAGGCAGGAAGTTTCATTTATTCTTTTATCCCTGCCGTGGGCAAGTGGTAGGGCTGCCTTGAAGTGACTGGTGCCAGGGCTGGAGGAGTGAGGTCTGCACCTCCATCATGTGCAGACTTCTATAATCATCTTTTGCGGTCCAATGTTCTGTAGTTAAAGTACATGCTGGGTTTCCTATTGAATGCTTGCCTTTTTTCAGCATTGCACAGGTTTCATCGCTGCTGGCACCACCCACACTCTACATTTGATTTCAAACTTGATGATTTCCCATGGGAAAGCATTGGGAGGCTTTCATGGATGTGCGACAAAACGCGACACTGCGCCAATCATCATCTTCTCATAGAGATGCATTGAATCAACGGTTTAGTGATATGCCCACAGCAATATATTTCCTATTTATATGAAATAGGAACATCCCAATTACAAACCACTTGATTGTACTTTATATACATATTTTATCTGATACTATCTTAATATATTTTGGCGCAGCCTTGCACTACTGTTTCCTATATCTCCCACAGCGATATGCCCACAGCACAGCGAGTAGGGGCAGGAGGGAGAATTTAACCTCCCTTATTTAGCAACACTAAGTATTATTTAGAGCAGGGGTTCCCAATTAATTTTACCCGTGGAACCCTTTGACATAGTGTACCAATACCGTGGAACAAAAAATGTTTTGTGCCGTAGCGCAGATAGTAAACAGATAGTAGTACTTAGGAGTAGATGTGCTTTCGTGTGTACAGTTGGTGTTTGTATATATTTTTGGCGTTTTACAGGGGTGTTTGTATGTAATGTTTGCAGTGATGTGTTTGGATGTAGTGTTGGCTTTTAAATGCAGGTGTACGTGTGTGTGTGTGTAGTATTGGTGTTTGCGTAAAGGGTGTGTTTGAGTATCCGTATATAAATTTAGCATTTTAATTCATGGGTGTTTTTGTATTTAACATTTGTGTTTGCATGCATGTTGTGTTGGTGTTTGATTGCTGCGATGTAAAAAACCTCCAATGTCTTGACCTAGAGCAGAGGCTCCCAAACCAGTCCTCATGGCCCACCAACAGTCCAGGATTTATGTATTTCCCTGTTTTATTCCAATGGAGATACTAACAAAACCTGGACTGTTGGTGGGTCTTGAGGACTGGTTTGGGAAACGCTGACCTAGAGCATTTCTTCACTTATCTCCAAACTCTTCTTTTACCCATCTCAAACTTCAAATGTCCTAGCTCTGCAACCTCCTTCTACAATTCCACCCTCTCCTCTCAACTAGACATCATGGCACGTTCTACATTTGAACACAGCAGGCGCACCCAACAACAACAACCTTGGCACACCAAGCTGGTTCGATACTTCCAAAAATGCTCCAGAACTGCTGAACGCTGTTTGAGAAAGTCTCACTGTGCGTCTGACTTTCTCCACTATAAATTTATAGTGCTCATACAGCTTGGCTCTTTCCTCTGCAAAAGTAAATTACTTCAATATCCAAACGACTATTTCACACATTTAACTCTCTTCTTCGCCCTATTGTTCCTCCTCCACCTACTAACTTGACCGCCTCAGACTTTACAACTCACATCACTGACAAGATCTCTACAATCAGGGAAGAGATCTCATCTTTCTTCTTCTGCTTACAATACTTCCCCTAACCTCACTCCCTCTGCTGTTCTATGTTCATTCGCACCCGCTACAGTGAAAGAGGTTTTTGCTCTACTACAGTCCTCCCACCCCACCATCTGCTCCCTAGATCCAATTCCCTTGCATGTCAGCCGTACTCTGTCTCCTCTTTCTCCACCTCTCACTAAAATTCTTAATCTCTTTCTCTCTCTCTCATCTGGCATATTTCCGTCGCCCTTCAAACATGTAACTCCAATTCTAAAGAAGCCCAACCTTGACCCTAACTCCCCATCCAACTATCATCCCATTTCGCTACTGCCTTTTGCATCCAAGATCCTTGAAAGCGTTGTGTATGTGAGATTGACAGACTTCTGAGTCCAGCTCTCTGCTAGACCCACTTCAGTCTGGTTTCCGCGCTAAGCACTCTGTGGAAACGGCACTGACCAAAGTATCCAATTATCTACTCATTGCAAAATCTCGTGGTCACTACTCTATCCTAATTCTCCTTGACTTATCTGCGGCTTTTGACACAGTTGATCATCAACCGCTTCTTCTCCTCCTCCGCAACATCGGCCTACAAGATATTACTCTCTCCTGGTGCTCCTCCTACCTTTCCCAGCGCTCTTTCAGTGTTTCTTTCTCTGGCTCTGCTTCTTCTCCCCAACACCACTCTATTGGTGTCCTCCAAGGTTCAGCCCTTGATCCCCTACTGTTCTCTATCTATACTGCCTCCCTTATTAAACTCATAAGGTCTTTTTGCTTCCAATATCATTTCTATGCCGATGACACGCAAATCTACCTTTCCTCTCCTGATCTCTCCCCATCCATCTTGACTAGTGTCTCTGACTGCCTCTCTGCTATTTCTAACTGGATGGCTGCCCACTTCCTTAAACTCAACTTTACCAAAACTGAACTTCTGGTCTTTCCTCCCTTGAGTGTTGCTACTCCTGTGTCTGTCTCCCTCCAAGTAAACGGTGCTACCATCATCTCCACCACGCATGCTCGCTGCCTAGGTGTTCTCTTTGACACTGACCTCTCCTTCACGCCTCATGTTCAGACTATTGCCAAATCCGGTTGTTTCCATCTCAAAAACATTGTGGACATCCGACCCTACTTAATGCCAGATGTGACTAAGGTGCTGGTCCATTCCACTGTCCTTACTCGCCTTGACTACTGTAATCGGCTTCTCAATGGTCTTACGTGCTCCCAACTTGTGACATTACAGTCCATAATGAATGTGGTGGCAAGGCTCATCTTCCTGTCCGCCCGCACCTCCCATGCGTCACCCTTCTGTCAAACCCTACATTGGCTTCCTATAAAATATAGAGCTCAATTTAAAATTCTGGTTCTTGCTTTCAAATCTTTACATAATGCTGCTCCCACCTAACTATCCTCCCTAATACACAAGTATGTCCCGTCTAGGCCCTTACACTCTGCTGAAGACTTATGTCTATCTTCTGTCCGTACTCCCACCTCTGATGCTCGCCTTCAAGACTTATCCAGGGCTGCACCGTTCCTGTGGAACTCACTACTCTCCTCCGTTATATGCTCACCCAGTCTCCACTCCTTCAAAAAAAAAACATTACAATCCCACTTCTTCATAAAAGCATATCAATTAAACTTTAACTGTAATAGCTCCCAACTGATTCCTCTCTTGCAACGGTCATTAGTCTAATACTATCCTTACCTTTTGTTTCATTTTACCCCACTCCCTCTAGCATGTAAGCTCATTGAGCAGGGCCCTCAACCCCTCTGTTCTTGTGTGTCCAACTTGTCTGGTTACAACTACATGTCTGTTCGTCCACTCACTGTAAAGTGCTGCGAAATTTGTTGGCCCTATATAAATAACATAATAATAATGTATTCACATACACTGCCACGTACATACTTACACAGATACAGACACAT